GGCTCAGTAGCTATAGTTTTCTCATTGCTTCCTATTTATTCGAATGGAGTAATGAATGCATGTTCAATGGAATGACTGACAGACATGCGCACACACACAACCCCAGTGATATTTAACGCAGAGCCCCTTGGTGACACATCGATATTGACCTTGTGTGTTTGCACGATTTTCTACCCGGAGATAGCAATATGGTCCCCTTTGGCCGTGGCCTGCCCGTGAGTGTACGTCACTGTGGTTCCCTCAGTGCGGGTGGAGAGGTGGGGGGGTCAAACAGCCGTGTGCGCAGTTTCACAATGCTTCCGCCCGCTGTTACACAGTCGGTCCACTGTTTGGACTGAAATCTGCCTTTCATTCATATCAACTTGGAACAGGGAACCGTGACGGGGGGTCAGTCACTGACCCCCAGATTTTAAAGATATAGGTCAAAAACCACTCATTGTCTTGCTGAGTAAAAATCTTCCTGAATGCTGAAGCCAGAGATTTTTTAAGCGCTTTGAATGAAACCACAGCTTCAGAAAATCTGTTAAAACTTTTGTTTTTGTATAAGCTGATCTGAAGTGGGGAGGAAAACGATATTTTATGGAACATTTTGCTCAATTAATAGCTATTCACATTTGATTTAGTTGTTACTCATATTGAGCTTCTTTCATTTATACTCAGTAATGGCTTCATGCTGTTGAGGGGCACAGGGATTCCAAAGCCAAACCTGGGGAAACTAGGTGTGAGGCAGGAATGCACCCAATTCATCTACTATCATGGAAACCAGAGAACCCAGAGGAACCCATGGAACAATATGCAAACTCACTACAGATAGTAACCTGAGCCCATGATTGGGTGTAGCTGTTTAGATGACAGTACTACTATCTGTGATACCATACCAGTTATTCACATACAACTAATAGACCAACAGGTGACCATGTTCTATCTGTCTGTCTGTCTATCTGCCTGTCTGTTTCCTTTTCTTCCTTCTTTCCTTCCTTCCTTTTTAAAAATTTTGTTTTAATTGTTTATTTTATGAATTTTCTATAATGGGTCACCCTGTGACCCAAGTTAGGTGGGATAGGCTTCCTGTGACCCTCTGTGTAAGCTATGCAGTATGGAAAATGGATGGGTAGATGTATTAGGTTTCAGTAAAAAATAGATTTCCATACTTTAATCTTCCAGCAAAACTATATATAAATAAAGAACATAATATCAGTCCCTCCAGGATTTCACGATCAAGGAAACTGACAGATTTGGGCCAAGACGCGTCATGTGACTTTATCACAAAGAGCAATCACGAGTCGAACATGAGTGCCGCTAAAAAGTTTAATTCACCAACAAACATCACATTTTGCACAGTTGTGCAATCTCAAAAAAAAGCACAAAAAACTTTTTTAAAAGGTGGCAGCAAAATAAAACATTTTTGGCCACTACAATCACAAAGAACTCCGCAAAATCCAGTACGGACTGTAATATATTAATACAGTCTGTAATAGACTACTTTTCAGAAAAAAAATTAATGCTGATGCTGTCAGGGATTACCTGAAAAAACAGAAGCAAGTGTGTCAGTCAAAGTCTCTGAGAATGCTGAGAAAAACATACCAGCAAAATTCCTTATCAAACATCCATCCATTTTCTATACCTTATCCTACTCGGTCTTGGGGAACCTGGAGGAGGGAGGGAGCAGGGAGCATCAGGCAAATGGCAGGGTACACCCTGGACAGGGTGCCAAGCCATTGCAGGGCACCATCACATTCACACACCCATTCATACTCTACAGACACTTTGGACATCATCTTACCATGCATATCTTTGGACTGGGGGAGGAAACCGGCGTACCTGGAGAAAACCCCCGCAACACAAGGAGAACGTGTAAACTCCACACACACAGGGCAGTGGCGGGAATCAAACCCCCAACCCTGGAGGCGTGAGCCAAACATGTTAATCACTATGCCACTGTGTGCCCTATGTCAGATCATTCTATTTATAATGAATTAAATATGGTTTAAAAACAATATATAACTCAAGAATATGAAGTGCAGTTATTATATCAGCTGATACTAACTCCAAGTATTAAACTCTTTCAGGCCAGCTCCTGAGGATGAAGGCCTCAGCTGAGCAGAGTGGCTACCTTTCTAACCTCTCATGTGCCTCAAAAGGCTGCCTTCATCCATGAGGTTCAGACCCTCACTAATCGATTCACCAATTACTGAGAAGGGAGATGAACAAGTGGCTGAGGGAACAGTGACTCGAGGGTGAGCACCTCATATCTGGCCCCTTTAGCTGCTGTGTGGCATGTCATTTGACTTTTGAAGTAGACGACTATAGAAAGACTAGGAGGGGGTATGGTCTCTGAGCCAGGAGGAAAATGTATGAAGGAAAATCTTTACAACTCAGAGTGCGAGAGAGAGAGAGAGAGAGAGAGAGAGAGAGAGAGAGATAGTGAGTGTGTGTGGGTGTGTGTGAGAGAGAGAGAGGTAGGATCACAGAAACCCCTTTAAATTGCCACTAATGAGCCAAGAGGCTGGTTGGATAGAAGCACTTGAATTGATTAAATTTGCATGGGAGTCTAAATCACAGTAAGGTCTCCTCCCTGGTGGAATTTGCCCCTACTGTGCTCTCAACCCCTCAACTGAAGAGCTCAGTGTGGGTGAGAGGACAGGATGTGATAGGATGGATACATGGCAGCACTCACCTATCAGCATGGGGATTACTGTTGATCCAGCACTCTCCTGTTGGTGTCCATTCAAGTCAAGTCAAGTGGGTTTTTATTGTCATTCCTCTATATAGCCTGTATACACTGGAATGAAATGTTGTTTTTCCAGGACCATAGTGCAACACATAACAGTATGCAAGACTACATAAAGTACATATACATAACAGTGTGAGCTGAGTGCAGGACAATAAATGCACAGAAGAGAAAACTGTAAACTACAGGGTGTCCCAAAAGTCTCTATAAACAAAGGGGAAATTAAAACTTTTTAGCCAAATGTAATTTCATTAACAAAACATCCTCTACATGACTGCCATTTCATTGTAAACACACACTGAGTTGTCTCTCCCACTCATGATGTACTCATGTTAACACATCTGCTGCTATTCAAGTAATTGCATGTCCATTACAACCGTCCTAATACATCCATGAGAATGATTTCAATACCTTCTTCTTTTGTCAAAGGCATTCTTAAAGGCTATCTGAAAAAGAGTAAAAAATATATATATATATATATATATATATATATATATATATATATATATATATATATATATATATATATATATTATATGTATATATATATATATATATATATATATATATATATATATATATATATATATATATACATATATATATATATATACATATATATATATATATACATATATACATATATATATATATACATATATATATACACACATATATATACATATATATATATATATACATATATATATATATATATATATATATATATATATACATATATATATATATAAATTTTTATTATTATTTTTTTTTTTACTGTCCCCACAAATTGAAAATGACCAAATTGAAAGTGAAAATGTCCAAATTGGGCCCAATTAGCCATTTCCTCCCGGTATCATTTGACTTGTTAGTGTTACAAGGTCTTAGGTGTGAATGGGGACCAGGTGTGTTAAATTTGGTGCCATTGCTCTCACACTCTCTCATTCTGGTCACTGGAAGTTCAAAATGGCACCTCATGGCAAATAACTCTCTGAGGATCTGAAAAAAAGAATTGTTGCTCTACATAAAGATGGCCTAGGCTATAAGAAGATTGCCAAGACCCTAACACTGAGCTGAGCAATGGTAGCCAAGACCATACAGTGGATTAACAGGACAGGTTCCACTCAGAACAGGCCTCGCCATGGTCAGCCAAAGAAGTTGAGGGCACGTGTTAGCATCATATACAGATGTTGTCTTTGGGAAATTGACGTATGAGTGCTGCCGGCATTGCTGCAGAGGTTGATGGGGTGGATCAAATTGGTCTGCATGGCTGTCGTCCCAGAAGGAAGCCTCTTCTGAAGATGATGCACAACAAAGCCCGCAAACAGTTTACTGAAGACAAGCAGACTAAGGCCATGGATTACTGGAACCATGTCCTGTGATCTGATGAGACCAAGATACACTTATTTGGTTCAGATGGTGTCAAGCGTGTGTGGCGGCAACCAGGTGAGTAGTACAAAGACAAGCTTAGGGGTGTACTCAACTTTTTTGCCAGTGGTTTGTTGTTGGCTGTGTGTTGAGTTATTTTGAGGGGACAGCAAATTTACACTGTTACACAAGCTGAACACTCACTACCACTCACTACTTTACATTGTAGCAAAGTGTCATTTCTTCAGTGATGTGATATGAAGAGATATAATTAAATACTTACGAAAATGTGTACTCACTTTTGTGAGATACTGTATATATATATATATATAAACTAAGTATGAAATTTTTTTAAAGACATTTTGCTAAAAAGTGTTCATTTCCGCTATGTATGGAAACTTTTGGGAAACCTGGTGTTCTATTGATTTGTCCTATCTTGTCAGATTTTTCTGCCATAGCACAAAATTATAGCTATGTCTATCCTTACAATAATAATTCAGTGTAACTTTGCCGAAAATTCTTATTATGCAATGGTAGTGATGATTTTACAGTGCAAACTACCCTATGAGATTATCCTAAAAATATAATATATATAGATACTGTAGGATGATTTTACATTGCAAAATACCCTATGAGATTATCCTACCAATAAATATATATATAGATACTGTAGGATGATTTTACAGTGCAAAATACCTTAGGAGATTGAAATTTCTGCACAAGTAGTAAAGATGAACAGAAATAGTCAACAATTTAACTTACATGAAGAAGTTGATGTGCAAGTAGTAAAAAATAACGGGACACAATGTTGATGTGCGCATGTGCAATAAGTCCTGGTAGGATGAAATGTTATGACACCAGTGTTGGTACGGTAGCAGCAATATGTTTAGTAAAGCAGCGACTCCCCATCTGGGAATCAAACCCCAGTCTTCCACATGACAGGTGGATATACTGACCACTTTACTAACGAGGACCTACCTTCACCTGGGGGACATGTTCATAGTGCTTTAACTAAGAGAGGGTCTAACCTTGTCTCCCACCACAGACTTTGTCTGTCTCTCTGTGTCTGTACTGACTCACTCTCATTTTACCTCAACACACTTACAGTTCACATAGTCCTGCCTGAACTGCATACACAGCTTTATGGAGACTAGCTTGAAAGAAGGTTGTTGATTGTTTGATGTAGCGATTGTTTACTCTATAATTTAGTCTTTTCTTGCCATTTAGCTTCTCAGTATTCACATTTTTCTTTCCCTTGCTCACATTCCCTCTTTGACTGGTCGTAGAAGGCTGTGTGATTACTGTAATCAGATCACTCAGTTAATCAGAGTGTGTTCGTCAGTGTCCTGATGAGCGGCCCTCGCTGATTGTAATGTGGTGCCTCTGTCTCAATGGCACCCCTCCTCTTCATACTCATCTTTTCTTGTCTACACACTACCGAACAGTGGCACATCTATGCCAATGACATTACTGTTAGAACCGGACGAGAATAAATGAGAAGTGGGTGTTTGTAAGATGGGCATGGGCAAAGCCAAGCTTTATTGTCCTTTTTTGGCAGAGGAGAAGGCTTTTGTGACTGACAACATTTTCTCTCCCCTCTACTTCTTCTTCTTCTTCTTCTTCTTCTTCTTTTAATAAGGAGTCCAAGCACCAACGCTATGACGGCAGCCTCATCAGCCAAGTCCCTACAAGGGCTGATACAAATTAATTAACCTAATTAGAGGCTGTGATTGCGGGCATGATTGTCGGGGTTTGGGGAGGGAAGGTGGAGGGAAGGAGGGGGCTGTGCTACCAGCTATGGCTCTGAGACTAGAATGAGGCAGAAGGCGTGGGAGAGAATCCAGAGCGCTCTGCATGGCTAATGAGTGCTACAGATATACCCCCTCCTCTTCTACAACTTCCCTCATCCTGTCTCTTTTAGTCCCAGCAACCCTCTGTATTTCCATCTCACCCTCATGCAACTATCTTTAATTTCCCCATCTTATTCTCTATTCTAGATTCATTTTAATTTGAACTCTTCAGCATCTTTGCTGTCTGCTGTTGTCCAAAACCAAAATTTCTGTCCTTTTCCTGCTTTTCAACAAAGTATTTTTTAAGTCATTCCCATTTGATTTAATCTCTTGCATTCCACCTGTATTTTTTATGCCAAAGATCAAGCATCATCCATATCACTGGACACCACAATACCTCCACCTCTAGTGTGTATCTCAGAAACTCCTTATATCATATGCATGTGCAAGCACCAACACAAAACACGAGCAATACTGAAATTCCCTATTTGTTTTGGAAACAGAACAAAGCTTTTTTGGAGAGCGAAGCAAAATGCTTTTTCTTGCCTGTATCAGCACTTCTAATTATCCCAAGGAGTTGGAGTAGAAGTGCTAGGAGCGCTTCCCCCCCCAATATAAATAAATTTTAACTCCTTAGAAGTGCAGTACTCTATAACCCTGTTGTAGAAACCCAACCCCTCTCCAACACTTGTATGATAGCAATGTCACCCAATCTCCAGCAGCTGCAGTGGTGCATATCAGACATTTATCTCTGCTTTGGAATAAAGTAGGTGATGTTTAGGGATGCATGCTACATTAAAACATAATAGTTTTTGTTTGGGTCCAAATAAACTTTTTTTTTTACACTGTATACAATGACAATTTTTGGTAGTTTACATGGATTTTCTACAAATAGAAAATTCAACATTGGATTGGTGTTCACAGCTTGCTTCTTCAGTTCTTCAGCTGTGGGAGTACCAAAGGAAATCATTAGCATAATTTAAACTGCATGCCAAATTAATCTGTGGGTCACAATGCTAATGAAATGTTTGAGCTAGCTATGTTGTTTTTGACCTCAACTGTAATGTTCAATTGATTTTCTTTACTTGCTATGTATATAATATTGTTATGTGTAAAAGCATTTCATAATTTTTCACATGATTTATTTTACCATTAATTTAAGAGATCCCTCTTGTATATTTTAGATGTGTGGATTTTACATACATAAACTACCAGTCAGAATCATGCTTCTAATATGTTCTAATATATATTTTTTTTTAATTAGGAAACATAATTAAGTCAAGATTCTAAAACTGACTTAGTTACACAGTTACATGTGTGTGTGTGTGTGTGTGTGTGTGTGTGTGTGTGTGTGTGTGTGTGTGTGTGTGTGTGTATATACAGTGCCTTGCGAAAGTATTCGGCCCCCTTGAACTTTTCAAACTTTTGCCACATTTCAGGCTTTAAACATAAAGATATAAAATTTTTATTTTTTGTGAAGAATCACCAACAAGTGGGACACAATTTTGAAGTGGAATGAAATCTATTGGAGTTTTGAAACTTTTTTAACTAATAAAAAAATGAAAAATGGGGCGTGCAAAATTATTCGGCCCCCTTGCGTTAATACTTTGTAGAGCCACCTTTTGCTGCGATTACGGCTGCAAGTCGATTGGGGTATGTCTCTATCAGTTTTGCACATCGAGAGACTGAAATTCTTGCCCATTCTTCCTTGCAAAACAGCTCGAGCTCAGTGAGGTTGGATGGAGAGCGTTTGTGAACAGCAGTTTTCAGCTCTTTCCACAGATTCTCGATTGGATTCAGGTCTGGACTTTGACTTGGCCATTCTAACACCTGGATAGGTTTATTTGTGAACCATTCCTTTGTAGATTTTGCTGTATGTTTGGGATCATTGTCTTGTTGGAAGATAAATCTCCGTCCCAGTTTCAGGTCTTTTGCAGACTCCAACAGGTTTTCATCCAGAATGGTACTGTATCTGGCTGCATCCATCTTCCCCTAAATTTTAACCATCTTCCCTGTCCCTGCAGAAGAAAAGCAGGCCCAAACCATGATGCTGCCACCACCATGTTTGACAGTGGGGATGGTGTGTTGAGGGTGATGAGCTGTGTTGCTTTTACGCCAAACATATCGTTTTGCATTGTGGGCAAAAAGTTTGATTTTGGTTTCATCTGACCAGAGCACCTTCTTCCACATGTTTGGTGTGTCTCCCAGGTGGCTTGTGGCAAACTTTAGACGAGACTTTTTATGGATATCTTTGAGAAATGGCTTTCTTATTGCCACTCTTCCATAAAGGCCAGATTTGTGCAGTGTACGAATGATTGTTGTCCTATGGACAGACTCTCCCACCTCAGCTGTAGTTATCTGGAGTTCATCAAGAGAGATCGTGGGCCTCTTGGCTGCATCTCTGATCAGTCTTCTCCTTGTCTGAGCTGAAAGTTTAGAGGGACGGCCAGGTCTTGGTAGATTTGCAGTGGTCTGATACTCCTTCCATTTCAAAATGATCGCTTGCACAGTGCTCCTTGGGATGTTTAAAGCTTGGGAAATCTTTTCGTATGCAAATCCGGCTTTAAACTTCTCCACAACAGTATTACGGACCTGCCTGGTGTGTTCCTTGGTCTTCATGATGCTCTCTGTGCTTTCAACAGAACCCTGAGATTATCACAGAGCAGGTGCATTTATACAGAGACTTGATTACACACAGGTGGATTCTATTTAACACCATCAGTCATTTAGGACAACATTGGATCATTCAGAGATCCTCGCTGAACTTCTGGAGTGAGTTTGGTGCACTGAAAGTAAAGGGGGCCGAATAATTTTGCACGCACCACTTTTCAGTTTTTTAAATTGCTAAAAAAGTTTAAAATATCCAATAGATTTCGTTCCACTTCACAATTGTGTCCCACTTGTTGGTGATTCTTCACAAAAAATTTACATTTTATATCTTTATGTTTGAAGCCTGAAATGTGGCAAAAGGTTGAAAAGTTCAAGCGGGCCGAATACTTTCGCAAGGCACTGTATGTAAATGACCTCTGTTCGGAATAGCTCACCTCTTTGCATGTGAAATGAGACACACTATGCCACTGTATGCAAGTCAGGACTTGCCAATTAATTTAGGGTCACTAATATGAGTGAGTACACAGTCTAACAAGCTAGCAATATACAAATAATAACTCAGAACAAAATGTTACAATCTCAGATCTAGTCACACTGATTGTTTTGTCAGTGAAATTCCTCAGGCAAAATTACATTTAATTGAAACAAATTTGCATTGAACAATGGTATGAAAGTTGAAAGTTAGCTCCTTGCATGGCAGCTCTGCTACCATTGGTGTGTGAGTGTGTCTGTGTGAATGAGTGAATGAGACACAGTGTAAAGTGCTTTGGAACCACAAGGGTTAAAAAAGCACTATATACGGGCAGACCATTTACCAGTTCATTTAGGAATACATTTGTGGAATTGATGAAAAAATGTATTATTATAAATTATTTATTATTAATTCTCTAATGTTTAGCGAACTGCTCTTTTGCTCCCATTTTGCAAGAAGATGCTTTAAAATGTATAGTGTGACTTCACACAGTGACATTGCATGGCATATTGCTAGCACAATGTTTAGTCATATATTGTAATGACAATTTGCTTCTGTCCATATACTGAATATCGACACAGCTGTGATTTGGTGTAGGCACGAGCCCACTGGCTTTGTGCTGTAGCTAACGACACCCATGCCGATCTTCAGTACAACAGCATGATTGTGAGTGAAATATCGCTGTTATAATAGTTTTATGAGATTTTTATTTTTTTTGCTCTGCTAGTGGAAACAGATCCCGAAGAAGCCAGACTCACTTTATAGAACGTCAGCTAGCTGGCTAGCTAGCTCACATTGATTTGTACATTCCTATTAAAGGTGCTTCTGGTGAAATTGGTGCCCCATCTTTCTTTTCATCTTTATCTGACAAGCTTTCATATTTTAAGTCAAAGGGTATATTCAGTTAAAATGAATTAATTGCCTGATTCTATTGTTAACTCTACTGTAGTAGCGAAGAGGTGGAATTCTATGTGGTGAACACAAACCTGCGGAATGATACACACAGTGAAATGTCCCAGTGCGGTTATACTAATCACTCGTTTAGTAGAAAGCCACTCGACCAAACAAATTAGCGGACTAGAACTAACTGTGGTATAATGT